TGACATGGACCCTCAACCTTGAGCGACCTCAATGCTGTAGCCGCAAATCCCACAGCCTCACTGAAGAAGCCATGAACTGGTGGCTGGCACACCGGGAGCCCAAAAAGGACTGGCAGCTGGCAAGCGAGATGTCCAGCAAAATCCATTCTTGGAGCGCCTGAATGCCTGAGCTCCGAAATAGTGATGGTTAACGAACCTGACGCTCGCCAAAAGGAGGCACCTTCTAAACTCCATCACTCATTTCGCTGCACTGAGAAATCAGCTGTTCAACACGCTGCACCCGGCCACGCACCGTAAGAGACTGATGTTCAGGCTGAAAATATTTGAAGGTATACTGAAAGCAGATACACCCCTCGACCCGAAGAGGCGGGGGGATCAAGAGGCGTGGAACGCAAGATGCGGCCGTTACAAAGAGAACGAAGCAGCGGCGACCTGGGCCTCACGATGCGCCAACATGTCTCTGCTTCAGGCTCGCCAGCATTTCTTGGAGTATATCCGAGCGAGCTATGGCTCGGAGGCACCCGCCGTACAGAGCCAAACTTACCTCAGGAAGCCATGATCTGCCATGGCGCAGGTGCGTGCCTGGAGAAGGGCTTTGGACCCCGATGTGCCTTGCCGATATTTCTTGCGACCGCAGCCAGATGACCAGATGCCAAACACTTGTCCTATCTTGTCATCTCCTGAATGGCCCAGGCGACTTTCCAGCTCACGCTCTCAACTTTCAAGACCGGGCCACATTGAAGATTTAGCCTTGAGAATGTAGATCGGGGAGTCTTTCGGCATGGCTGTCTCACGCAGGAAACCCTTGGCCTTTCAATCGCAGGTCGTCGTCTAGATCGGACAAACATTGAGAGGCCCCCGGAACAAGAATTGTAGCATCGTCTTACGGTGTATGTGGGCACATGTGTTTCTGCTTAATTTGTGCCCTGGCTGTGTCTGGACGGAAATCTGTTGTAAAGGGCACTCAGTTCAATGGGTCTGGTCAGTTGCCACATGTGGTTTGAAGTGCACGTGATGACAAGTTGCAACCAAGTCTTTTGAGGTGACCGGCCGACCATGACGGACGGTCTACTTAGTTTTCATGCCATTACATTCTGGCGAGGAGATGGTTCCGCCACGAGACGAACCTACGTCCGCTTCTTGGCCAGCATAGGAGTATGCCGAGACCCACTGGCACCCTACAAGGCGAATGCATCGACCTGCAGACGCTCTGGCGCTCCCTCGACCGGGTTGGATCATGCAGCCTGTCCAGCCAAAGCCACTGTCGTCGATTGTGGCCCACAGCTTCTCCAGGATGGCAGCGGTCGCCTGGGAATGGAGGCTTCGTGTTCAGTTAACCTTGCAACCGGGGATGTGTCCACTTGCCAGGAGCTTGCACCCCAGGCAGCAGCCACGTTGGGCTGCTTTCGAACATGGATTCGAGGTGCGGCTCTCAGGCGGCCTCGTGGTTATGGCAGCTTCGTTTTGCAGAGCTCCAGGCAGACTGGGCTCGTGCGCTTCGGCTTGGGAACACGAGGCAGCCGCCACCCCAGCAGGGCCAGGTCAGAAACCCTTTGCCTTAGAGGGGGCGTAGGTCCGGTCCATTCCTCTGAAGGGCGCTTCGACTGAGACTCTGAGGTAGCGGATGCATTCTCGAACTTGCAGTCCGAAGGCTCCTGGGTGTCCAGGCCAAGCTGTGCTTAGCTGCTTAGCCATCTACAGGTAGCTCTAGACTCTAGACTCTCTAGACTTCAGCTGCTTTAGCATCCTGACCCGACAGGACGAAACTGCTGGTGAATGCCTTCGCAAAGGACCCCGGCCTCAGAAGCCCGTTGTCATTAGCTGCCTTGTCTCAGTTCGGACAGCTTGCAAGGCAGTAAAGCAAATTGGCTGGCGGCCTATTCTTGACCAGGGCACCCGGGCAGCCTTGCTTGCCTCGCCAGATGCCTATCTTTAATGTATTGTTGGGCGGCTCTGCCATGCAGACTCTGGGATTTCAGAGGTTGGACTTCTTCGGCTGCGGTTTCCTCTCTCGATCAGACTTGGAGTGGCTGGATGCCTGGGATCCACCAGAATGGCTTTATTCGGAGCCGGATGCAGAAGCATGGGTGCGGGCCTTCTGGGTCGTGCTCGCCTGTCCAAAACTACTCCAATCTCCACGAGGTGCATCTCCGGCGGCTGATCATGGGGCGTGGGGTCCTCGGTCGTGCCTCTTGCATCTCGTGCCAACTTTTTTGGGGAGGGTGTGCAGTTGCTGGGTGTTCCTGCAAAATTTTACAGCCTGTGTCGGAAGGGTTCGATCATCCGTTGGCCGCTTGGCGCGGGCTTCTGGACCGAGATGTCGCGAGCCAAGCCGAGAAGCACGGAAAAGCCTAGCGATTCTGGCTGGCTTTCGCTTCGCTCAGCGTCGCGCAGCCAAGGACTCCAACAGCGTGTCCTGGAGCGAATTCAAGGACGCCGTCATCCGAGTGTAGGTGTAGGACCAGCGGGATGCACTGCACAACTGCTTAAACCCATGGACAGGAGGCTTGCAGGAGGGTTGGTTTCCAAGGCCAGATCCTCTTTGGAGCCTTAAAGTGGTCCGAACTTTGGCTTAGCATTTGCAGGCAACGTGGGCGGAGCCTGGCGAACATTAGACAACGACCTTTCAGGCCACGCGTGCCTCCGTTCAAAGCCCACGTGTTTACTGTTTGGCCCAGGTATAATCCCCGGGTCGCAGCTGCCCCACCCCGCCATGGTATCCCCACCCGCTCCCCCCACACTTCCAGCGGCTGTCTGCGAGCATCCTTTCGGAAGATTGGATCGTCACTGCGAGCCAGAACAGAACCCCCACCACCCAAACTACAGGGGTGGGAGGCGACGCCTGGTGTCAATGCAGTGATCCGGGTGACAGCCAATGCCACTGCTTCTGCACGGAGAACCGCATCAGAGCGAAGGCTACACCACAGGGACACGGGCGCCATCAGCAAGCTGAACAAGGGAAAACAACCTGAATTAGAGAATGTAGTATAATTATAGCACCATATGAGCGACGGCTTTTATTTACGTCAATACTATGCTCTTTTGAAGCGAGATACCTCCGCGCGGTAATTTCTTTGTCAGAACTTCCTCTAAGAGGGGAACGAGATAGGGGCACCGCATAAAACGAGATCAGGTACATGTATGGCTGTAAGAGTTAAAGGACTGCTACTAACGATATTTGAACGACATCAAGAATTTCTGCCAGTACTTAACATGATGAAACGAGATAGGGGCACCGCTTCGAGATACCGCAATGAGCCTGAGCGTAAATAAACGCAGCGGCTCATATTAAGATGACACTTGTAGTGACTTGCAGCATGGGAGCATGGGCAGACCAAGAAGCCGAGAGAAGGGAGGGCGGGCGGGGGAGGGGAGGGGACAAGGCCGAACAAGAGGGCCACCCCACCCCACCAAGTGCGGGGGGCTGGCAAGTTGCGGGCGGGGAGGGGGCACAGCAGCCCTGCAGCATGTATGCAGGCAGAGGTACTTCGTTGGAGTAGTTGGAGTCCAGCGCGAATTTGAAGAACCATTTTTGCCATCCTCTGAGCTGCAGACCGGAGACCTCCACTTTCTGGGGCCGTTACCCGAAGTTTGAGCTGGTTCTCGTGGCGAACCGGTTCGTGTAGACGGTGGGTAGGCCTGTTGTCAAGCACCCCTGTCCTGCAGCCTTCTGCCTGTTGCCTCCTGTCCTGCGCTTCGATTTCCGTGTAGTGAAGTATGGATGCCTGCCAGGCACTACAACACTCCGAGAGTTTGATGCAGCCAGCGCCAAGATCTTGACGTCTTTCAAGGCACTCATTGTTTTCAGTGAGCATGAAGGTCAGACCCACCTCTGCTTATGGCAGGCTTGGTGTGATGTACATTACGGATCCTTCGAGCATCTGTTCAAGCCGCCGAGTCAGCATTTGGTGCTGGCATTCGCTGTCGTTCTGATTGCTGGTTGTTGATACTGGTTGTAAGGTCGATGGACAAGGCGTGGTTGCAATTTGTCTTTTTGCCCTTGCGCCGTGTGCGTTCTTGTCTGATGCTCTGCAGGACCGAAGCGGGGGAGTTTCGCCCCTGACTCTGATGACTCGCGGCATCGTCTCGTGGTGAAGTGCGTAGAGCGTACTTTTTTTGTGCTTTGGCCTTCCGAGAGGTTCTCGGAGTTGCGACGTGCCTGCCGAAGCGGTGGTTGGAAAGGCCTCACTTCTGTCGCGTGGCCGACCTGTAGACTTTAAGACCTCAGGAAACGTCCACGTGCTGTTCAAATGCCTGGATGTGGATTCTGGCGGTCAGAAGAGCATCGAACTGGAAGAGCTGCCTTTTGGATGCAGGGCCGCAGGGCTTCTGTATTTCACTGTAGGCTTATTGCTTTTCAAGGTAAACAGCAGGGCTGCGAGCTGGTCGGCTCCACTGAGTTTTGAGGCAGTTCTTGGATTCTTGGGATCCACTGGAAGACGAACCATTGGAGGCATCGCAAGAGCTTTGCTGTGCATGTGACCTGCATTGCAAGCAAAGACAAGTAAGTGTGAGGAGAGGCAGGATGGTGCTCTCATGCTGCTCATGGTCTCATTGCTCTCGTGTTCTGCGTTCTGTGAAGGCAGCCACCAACATGCTTCTGGGGCTGCACTAAGCCGTCTTGGTGGCTGGGAGCAAAAGGAAGACACCGCCTCGATGCAGGACCCATAGGATGCCTTGTCGCCTGTCCCAGAACTCACAATCATCTCCAGCCGCTGCACTGAATTATGAGCGTGTTTCCTTTTAAGAATTCCTTGCGCAGTGACTGCGGAAGGTCCTGCCGCGGATTGTGTGAGACTTTGGCGATCGCCAAGCTAGCCTCTGCCACTGCCAGTTGTGCATTTGGACAGCGAGTCCAGAATTTCTGCACGACCTGCCCAGTCTTGTTTCACTTGTGTCCAGCGCCACTGGAAGATTGAGTTTTCGACAGAAGTCGAAGCTTGCGTATCAAATCTTATCCCTCTTTGTCTTCTCTCGGTCTCGGCACGTGCTGCTTCTGCATGCTGCCTTTACAGGAGGGTCCGTGGCTTTTGCCCAACAGTTTCCGTCTGTCTAGGTTCTCCGTCGCCAGGGCCGCCGAGGAGGATGCGAGGAAGATTTTGCGCATCTGTGGTGCACAGTCGGCTTTGCACAATTGCTCGATCGTTGCCCGTTCGTGCTGGGAGCGCACCACATTGCCAGGCTCATTGACGGAAGGCCAAGAGAAGACGTCGAGTGACAGCCTTGGTCTTTTGAGGGTTCGAGGAAGAAAAGTTCCCCGGGACAGGGCTCCCGCTCGGTGCATTAGTTACCCTTATGTCCGGTCATATGTCCTGCTTGGTAACTTAGTATTCAGACAGGATCCGCGGAGCCACGCTCGTTGTAAGACATGGCAATACTTGGGCCGCCTTTCGGAGTCGAAGATGTTGAATCGCAGCAGTACTCGGGGTTTTGCCCGTTACCCCGACTCTCGCCAAGAAGGAGGCAGAAGGTGCCGTGCTCTGCCAGTATTTGGCACGGGGGAAATTTGCCGTGTTCCACTACTTGGGGGACGGCTGGTAGTTCCCGGTGGTCTCCTAGTGGTCTCTTCGTGCTCTCCTGTTGGTGTTGGTCGATTCTATCCTATCACCTACGCTAGCACACTGCGTTTCGGCGACTAGCACTTAAATTTGAGTGTCTTGCATTTCGTCAGGGTCGTCCTTTGGGGGTGGGCTGGGTGCTTTGTTCTACTCGGTGCCGTCATGCTCATGAGATCTCATCAGACAAAGGCTGATGGGTGTGCAGGATCGGCCACTACGCTCTGGCGTCCAGTCTGTCTCTGCTCTGAGCGATGCATGACACGCGATGCATTAAGTATGGCATCAAAACAGCTTGACTATTCATCGTCAGTCGCCGCACATGCGCTGCAAACCAGTAGCTGCAACGCAACTTGCTCGAAGTCTGTTCTGAAAGGGTGTGTGACCGTTCGGGACATGCCAACACGCAGGTTTGCCGAATCTTTGCCGAATTTACCGAGCCCGCGAATCCACTATCCCACTTCTTTATACGCAAGACTGGTCCAACGGTCCTGAGGCAGCTTCGCATGCTGCTTTGTAATCGCTGCACTGGCAAAGACGAGGCCTGTCTGCTTGGAGCCACTACAATGCTACAAGTAGCCCGTGTCTTGCGAGGCAGATACCTTCGACATTTGTGCCAACTGGGCAAAGACAGCGGCCGAGTGTGGCGAGCCACTGGCAATGCCAAAGCAGCAGTTGGAGTTCGCTCCTGCAGCTCCAAAGGCTTGGGTCGGGGTATTTGGCAGGTCAGGCCATGTCTGCTTCTTTGGAGAGTGTACGTTCTGGTGCCCAGAGGCCTTTCGGCATGCCTCCACCACATAATTCGGCGACGGCGCCGCAAGTGTTACACAAGTTGCTTCCGGCTGATCGCAGCGAGTCGTTGAAGATCGAGTCGTCGATACGTCACCTGTAATTAGTTCATTCGGCCAATAGGTGCAGTTCGAAATAGACTTTGTAGGGATTGCAGTGGTCGTCTTCAGAAGGCCCGTTCCCAGTCCTTTCAGAGAACCAAGCCTCGCTTCGTCGCAGCCCTACGTGGAGAGAGTAGTCCAATCATTTGCCATTGTATCAACGCTGTAGTGGAATGGTAAGGCAATGAAGCATAGTTTCATCCCATCGAGTCTGTCATCAGAATCCGGTGATATGTGTGCTCATGCGGCTTTGTCCAGACATCTCGTATCAGGCTGCTGCCGGAACAACAACAGTAGCGGCTGCTGGTGGCCAGGTGCTTCTCACCGTGTCATTCAGGGCAAAGAAACATATGCTATGGCTTTCTCACCGCTTCTCTTTCAAGTGCGAGCTTCAAATGTCAAAATCCGCACCATCTGTGAAGCAACTTGCCTATGGCTGAAAGGTCACGGAACCTATTTTTTTTATTCAGGCCATATCTGCTAGGAACGGATTCGGGCTTGCATGCGTAACATATATATCTCGTCTGTTCTCTCTGCCGATCTGCCATGACAGGCAGGGCCGGGTGTCACATCAAAAAGCACACCTGCTTCTCAGGCTGCTCCGGAGGCTCGCATCACAGGGAATCGTTTAGAGGGCAACATCTGTTTTGAGAGTTATGCGGCAGGCAAATCCACCTCCGACAGGAGACGAGCTGGAGGCAGAAATGCAGGGCTCGTTCTCTGTGCTGAGTTGCAAGACTTTGATGCTCCTCGTGTGTTTCTTGTGAAGGCGCTTGGCGGGTTGTGTGACTCTGCTGGTGCCGAATGCGTGCATGCTGTGGCAAGGATGCGCCTCCTGACAGTGCTGCACATCAGAAGGCAGGGACGAGAGACACCTGGGTATTCGTGGTGCTGTTTCATCCGCCAGGTTAGGTTCGACCAGAAGAAGGGGGCGTACGCTTTCACGACCCCGGACGCTAGCAGGAAGCACTTCCAGACCACAGTGCACGCTGCAGCCAAAAACGTGGAGGACACTTTCACAGTCCGAATCCAGCTACTTGCTAACTGCACATGAGCTATGCATGCTGGTGCAGGCGGCTGGGCGCATCGCCCGTGCTGTTCTTATTCCTTATCAAGCTGGTTGCCTTTGTCTCGCCCTGCACCTCCGAGTGTCACCCCCGAGGAGTTTGTTTTTACAAGTTCGAGCCCTCACCTCAGTACCGCTTGGTTCGCCTCGAACTGTGGCCGTAATGTCGCGAGCCTTTCGCTCAACCCTGCAGGCAGGGCGTCAGCATGGAGGAGGTGATGCAGTACAGGAACGAAGCGTACAAAAGGCCGATGGGTGAAACGGTGGAAAGAAAACAGTCGCTGTCTGTCTCGTTGAGGCTAGGCGGCGCCCCCAAGGTGCCTGCCAGCAACGGCACCACAGCCGTCGAGAAGCCAGCACCGCCGCCACGGAAGCGGCCAAAGTCCACTGATGCGGAGGTGACCGTGATCAATTAAGCAGCCAACAGGGGTCCTATCTTGCTCAGCAACACGTGAGCACTTGAGTTTGCAGTCCCCCTTGCACGGGTGCCGAAACCCTTGGTGTTTTCGTGATGAAATGCCTGGAATCAAAAGGCAGATAGCCTTGCTTTGGCAGGAGGCCGCAATTGAGCGGCTGCAGCAGCAGGGCAAGCTTCTTCATGCTCTCGAAATCTCAGGGCTACCTGCCAGCACAAGCATGGGTTCGTGTGAGCATGTGGCACAACGTGGCTGTGGATTCTCAGGCGAGACAGCAACAAGAAGAATTCGCCATGTCCTGAGAAGCGCCACTTCAATTTGGACTGCCAGCTTTGATAAAAGCAACTCACTGGCGCAGGACCGTCAATGGTGTTTACATGGCAGTGGAGGGTGGATACAAGGGCCACCAAGCCTATGAGAGAATAGGAAAGAAAGGTGCCTCCAATGAGAGTCTTGCCATACCGCGGCTTCGATCCGAGAGGGCTCGGCGCTGCCACTGCCAGGTGACGAAGCGCGTCGCTGCCTCTTTTACTCCAAGGAGAAGTCGCGGTGGAAGATTAGCGAGGAGATGCAGCATACTGAGTCGAAAGTGCTTCAGATATGTCCTGCGGACAGGGCCTGGGGGATCACAAGAACTTCGCCTTCTTGAAAGTCAAGGACTGCGATGGCTGCAGATAGGGTTTCCGGCAAAGGATCGCCGCATTGCTGGTAGCCGCTTGTCATGCCTCCTCGCGCACCACAACCGCCTTCGACATGGCTGGGCTCATATTCCCCATGTTGCAGATGCACTGTTCTGGGCCCCATTCTCGAGGGGTTCAGATCATTCATGGAAGCCCCCGGCCGACGCAGACACGTGCAGGGGGTTGCACTGAAGCTTGTTTTGTTTGGCCTGCTGCTGTGTGCCGGGCGCTGGCTGCTGCAGAACTCTACTTTCACTAGTTCGAGCAGTGATCAAGAGGCTTTCGACTATGATTTGTTTACGATTGGGGGTGGCAGTGCCGGTGTGCGGCTGGCTCGATTCAGTGCACAACACGGTGCGCGGGTTGGCCTTGCTGAGCTCCCATTTGCCGTTGTCAGTGGCAAGCACTCGGCTGGTGGGCTAGGTGGGACTTGTGTAATCCGTGGCTGTGTGCCGAAAAAGCTACTGGTGTACGGCAGCCGGCTCCACGATGAGCTCCAGGATGCTGTTGGTTATGGCTGGGACTTAAACAGCCTGGGCCGCCGCTTTCGGCCTCGGCTCGATTGGCGAAGGCTGATTGAGACGAAAAACGAGGAAGTGCTGCGCTTGAGTGGCAAATACAGAGAGCTCTTGGCGAAGGCCAAAGTGCAAGTCTTCCAGGGCTACGGGCGGGTGCTTGGCCCGCAGACTGTCGAGGTCAACGGGGCTCTTCTGAAGGCGAAGCATATCTGCATAGCGACCGGGAGCCGGGCAGTGATTCCTAAGATCCCCGGAGCAAACCTTTCGGGCGTTCTTACGAGTGACGAGGCCCTTGACCTGCCACGCTTGCCTCGGAAAATTGTCATCGTCGGTGGGGGCTACATTGCCATGGAGTTTGCCAGCTTCTTCTTTGGTTATGGCTCAGAGGTACACCTAGTCTTTCGAGCGGAAGAGCCTTTACGTGGCTTTGATGCAGACGTGCGCACTCATCTACAACATGCGCTGCTCCAACGAGGCATCCAATTGCATGCAAACGAGAAGCCAGAAAGTATCAAGCGGAGCCGTGCAGGACTTGTTTTCCGGACAGATCGAGGAACAGTCGTAGAGACTGACAATGTCATGTTCGCAACGGGCCGTCGCCCGAACTCACAAGATCTTGGATTGGAAGCGATCGGGGTTGAGATAGACCCGGTCAGCGGCAGGATTGTGGTGGACAAGTTTAGTCGAACAACTGTACCATCCATTTTTGCCATCGGAGACGTCACATCTCGACGGAGCCTGACGCCGGTGGCTTTAATGGAAGCGTCGGCATTGTCGGAGACACTGTTCGGCGGAAGGCCCACAGCCCCAACTTATGACAATGTGCCAAGTGCTGTTTTCAGCCAGCCGCCTGTTGCAACATGCGGCTTAACTGAGGCTGAGGCTGTGGATAAGTTTGGCGAGGTAAAAGTATTCATGAGCGACTTCAAGCCGCTGAAGCATACGATGCCGACTGGCCGCGCTGGCCAAGAGATGGTTTTAATCAAGGTGCTTGTGGTGAGCCGAGGTCCAAATGCGGGCTTGATTGTTGGTGTGCACATGGTAGGGGATGATGCGCCCGAGATAGTGCAGGGGTTGGCGATTGCCTTGAAGGCCGGCGCCCAGAAGGAACAGTTTGATCAGACGGTCGCACTGCATCCCACAGTTGCAGAAGAGTTTTGCACCCTGCGGGAAGCCAAACGGATTTCAAAAGAAGCACAGCCTCTTGCTTTCTGTCCGATGCACAGCTTCCTCCTGGAAAAGTGGTCTGCCCCACTCTTCCCCCGCCTCGATAGTGCGTCCGAGCAGAGTTATGGCCAGGACGGTGGCACGAAGCCGCCTTCAGCAGCTGGGTTCGATCCCCTTGATTGCTTCAACGGCTTGTCTGCAAGTGTTTCTCGAGCGCTGCGTGTGGATAGAATGGCTTCTCAGCGAAGCTGCTCGCCCAGGTCAAAAATACACTGGCATTTCTTTGATGGTAAAGATGTGGGCTGGACAGAGGACTTCACCATTTCATCGACGCACCAGGCACCAGGTGCGTGTGCGTGTGCCGCAGCTCAGCCAGGACAGGGAAGTGAAGTGTGTTCCGTACGAGCAGGCTCGAAGGGTTAAACCTCTGACTTGCCTAGGATTTTGATGCTTCCACTTTTCGCAAACGTGGGTCATGATCAGGGGAAGCGGGCGAAAACCGAAAATGGTGAGGCTTTGCCGGCACTTCACTTCCGTCGCCCTGTCCTTCCGCTGACTTCGGTTTCCCGCTGTTGGGGTGGGGGTTGTCTTGTCTTGCATAGTAAGCGTATTGGAGTATGAAGTTGGTGAGGCCAAGTCTCCCCAGGGTCTTAGCGAGCTTTCATGGAGTTCCATTGCGGCTCTGCGTTAGGCCCGTTCGGCTCAGATAGCCGAGGATGCCCCGGAGATTGCAGTTGACGAAGGTTCCGTCCCGGACTCGGCGACTTTGGTTCTACTCGCATTCTTGGATCGTGGCTCTGACGCGCCGAGGCCAGCTCGGACTCCGTGGGGGACCTTGCAGAACCGTCGTTTCGCTTCTCGGGAGCTTTAGAGAGATTTCGTTGCAGGCCAGCTCCAGCAGCGGGGGTGAAAGTAGCGAAGAGGCGAGAGCTGGACAAGTCGCGAGCCCAGTCGGAGCCTTCCCTCTGCTTCCAGGCTTCGGATGACGATTCTGCCAGCTCGGGCTTGGCCCTCGGATCACTCGCAGCTAAATTCCAGCTAGGTTTGTGCCGATGATTCTTGAGGTGGCAGCGGGTCGCCTGAGCAGAAGAGAGCAGGCCTCAAGATCATGTAGTATCGACTCTTTCGAGCTTTGACCCGTGCCAGCCTCCACCGCAGTGCCGGCTACCGGGCCAGGAAGGGGCGGGACCACGCCAGGCCGATTGGCAGAAGAAGATGTTCCTTTTCTCATTGTACTCTAGAGAAGGCTCCAGTGTGCCGCCACGGCCCAAAACGCGCGCCTGCGCGAAAATGCTGGTTCGCCGGCGCCTCAGGCTTTCGCTGTGTGTTCCTCCTGCTTCGTGGCCGCCAATCCGGGGCTCTACTCCTTTCGCTTTTGTCTTGAATTCGCAATCCTGGATCGTCTGTAGCTCGCTCTGCCGCCGTGCACAGGGCTCTGAGCCTCAGGCGCCGGACTTCGCTGCAGCTGCCACTTCAAGTACGTCCAGGAATGTCCTTCGCGCCGGAGACTTGAAAGTCTGGCATATCATGAGAACTTGCTAGACAGAGGCAGTCTGCTGCAGGCAAGGTGGCAGCGTGAGTAGAGCTTTCTCCCGAGCTGCGGCTTGAGAGCTGGAAGACGATGGAAGATGCTGGAAGACTGAAGGAGCTTCATGTTCACACAGAAAAACAAAAACGAGCGCAAAGAGAAGATCATGAGGCTCTCTCACTGGTTCTGTGATCTCGCTGCTCGCTTCATCCCGCTGCGCGATGGAGCAAAGACGCGTGCCTGCCTGTCCAGAGCCGTCAGCAAAGGTCTAGGGGAAGCCGTGGGGTTCAGTTTGAGGAGCTCTCTCGTTTGTCTCGTGTCCAGTCGGCTCCAGGATCGGTTAGATGCGGACGCAGTGCCGCAAGGAGGGTCACCGCTGGGGGGGGCGGGGTTCCGCTTTGGGCCATGGGCAGGACGCTTACAGGCTTACGCCTCAGGAACTCATGCTGTGACTCAGAGATGGGCTCCCTGAGGCTCCGATGAACGAGCCCGCAAAAAGGCCAAAATCGCCGCACCGGCTGCAGAGCGCCTAACTGGGGCCTAACTCTTCCTCCCACGGCTTTCGCCTCGAGACTAGGTCGATGATGCACTCGGCGGGCCCGATCCCAGAGTTTTCTAACTCAGAAGAGAGTGGTCCTTTGTTTTCAGAGGCTTTACGACTTCCTGCCACCTCCCGATCCTGTCAAGGACGAGGCAGCTAAGGCCGGAATGCCATGCAGTCTGGGCATCGAGTGGCCCATGTACGTAGCGTTTCAGTGTTTCTGTGACAGGCAGCGGCCGTGAAGTCCCCGGCAAATCTTTGCATCCGTGCGCGTTGACGGTTTCTGTCGCTGAGGTGAAAAACCACCTTTCCAGACCGGCCTTGCCGCCGCCGGAGAAATCCAGGCGGTGGAGATGGTGGCGCCCTGCGCAGCCGAAGCAAAGCACGTTTGCAGGGTCATCTTCTTGGACGTGGACGGGGTGATTCTGCCCGCTGGCTGGCGCCTTTCACCGAGACCCCGATGCTGTCATTGAAGTGATCTGACCCAAGGTTCCATTGACATGATCGTGGTTGACGGTGTCACGCTGCCAGCGATTTCCTGAAATTCACCGGCCCGACCGTTTTGTCTCATCTTGTCCAAATCATGCCACCTTCCTGACATACCTGAGTCATTCCCGAAGAGCCGAAACACTGCCCTGAGGCCAAGAGTCATGTCCTGTGCCCAGAAATCGGTTCGACATTGTTTTGCATCTGTCGGCGACTGATGTTGTGGTTTCTGACGTGTTTCTTCCTGCTCGATGCTTCAGGTGAAAGAAAGTGACTTCTCGGCACAGGCTATGGGTAGCCTTCGTGCGGTGCGCTCCCCACGATCATGTGATTGCAGTTCTTGCACTTCTACATGTCGAAGCAGCGGCTCCTCCTGTGCAGATCGTGCAGCAAACTGGGGCGACCATCGTCTTGTCTTCTGAGTGGAGGACGCGTTCGATCTTCCCCTGAATCGAAAGCGTAGCGACCCTGCAAGAGGCGTGGTGACGATCTGAAGTCGTCTATCAATGCCGTCTTGAAGAGCCAGGAGCCGCCGCAGCCTTTCCGAAGACATGTTGCATTGCACTCCGGCAGCCAGGACATTCCGTACATCCGCGACAGCACACCTATATTTCATCCGAGGATGGCTGCGGCAAGTGTTTGCACATGTTCGCACATTCCCGACGACTACACATTTCTAAGCAACAAGTACAATGAAGCCTGTTTGGGCGGGCTGCACTCCTGGTGCCAGGCCGGAGATTCAGAAGGTCGGTTGCACATCTGAAGACTTGCGGGACTCAAGTTGGCAGCATGGCCATCCGCCGTTCGTGTAGCTCCGCCAGCACCACCCCTGACTGCGGCTAATGATCCGGTTTCTGGGATCAGTCCCAGTCGGTTTAAGCCTTGTTTTCACGGCAGTGTGCCGGAGTTGATTGTTGATTGTACCTAGATCGCCTTCGAAACCGTCGAGAACACAGGCCCCAGAGCTTGGCAGGTGAATGCAATTTATGCCTGGTGCGAGCGTCGCGCCAGAGAGATAGGCAAGTGGCTCAAGGACTCCGCCTGGGCTTAAGCTTGCAGCAGCAGTGGCAGCAGTGGTAGTTACCCTCACTTCACCCAGATCCGGACGTAACTTTTCTTTTCGGACCCTCCTCGCGCAGGATCACCCGGAGGTCACAGCATGGGTTGCGTTGGACGATCTCGACTTCGACTGGGCAGACAGTTTGAGACAAGCTGGCTACTGCCTGAGATGCTTGCGGATGCCTTCGCGGGAGCCGGACTTTCTTCAAAGTATACACACTGTGCTGAGTTGGGTGTAGGCCCTGGTAAGCATTACAGTACTCGGGGCGGTCGTGCTCGCCCTCAATCCGTAGAGCTCACTGCTTCGGTCTCTATGCCGGCTCGTGTGCGTTGTCCTGAAGGATCCGAAATCCCCTGCTCAGACGAATGCATGCTACGAGTTTCCATACTTGGAAGACAGTATCATCAAGCCTTGCTTGGCCTCAGAGCTGGAAGCGTGAGTTATCCGGTCTGTGAAGCGGCTTCCGCATGGGAAATATGGAGTGAAGGTTGAAGGGCTATTTTATGCATACCCTAAATGAAGCCGTCGGTTGTGCGCCGGGTAAATCCCACAGAACCCCGAAGCAAAGAAGCCTGGGAGCAACAAGAGCCATTTACGACCGTTCCTATGTCTATATCTTCCATATTGTTCCAGCAAGTTGACTGCGTGTGAGTGTGATTTGTCAGGAACGCCTTGGATGAAAGTCCGTTCGGTGCACACCAACGATAGAATCTGCCTGACGGATGTGGGGAGCTCAGCTGCAGTGCTTGTAGCATTGTAACTTGCAGCTGGCAGACCGAGCAGAGCATACATCTGGACGAAGTGCTAGGCAGATGCCGCCGAAGCTGTGCGGATTCTTCTGAATCCGCCCGCTGATCCAAAGGCAGGAGCAGCCACAAGAGGTAAAGGCTGGATACGAAGCTTCTATGCGCTAGGTTCCTCAACGGCCGATCTCCTTGCAGGCATGTCGAGACCGCGCCAGTGCGTTTTTTCTATTCTCTTCTCATCTTGCAAGCGAGGTTCCGAGTGGCCCGCTGCTGCCTTGGCCGAGGTTTAGGCTGAAGGGTGACCGCAGCATTGAGCTTTGAGGTCCGGCGTTCTGGCCAGCACCGAGGCCTGTACTGACGCACCCGATTTCCCGTGCATTTCGTGTTGGCGGAAGGATTCTGGACCCGACCGGATACGGCTCGGGTGACTTCAGTAGCCGGCCGCTGCTCATGTGAAGCTAGGAATGGTGTCGGATGTCAAGCTATCCAAGCATCGGCGCAACTGCAAAGTGGCTCATGTTCCACACGCTGCCTCTAAGAGTCGACGTGCCGAAGTAAGAACTCTGCCTGATGACTGCTTGAAAGCCACAAGGAGATTCAAACCATGCTCGCAAGCTAGGGTGCTGAGAGAGCCACGAATCGCAAGAGCTGGGGCGGCAAAAGTTTCGTCCGAAACCGTGTCTCGGTTTCTCCTTGCTCGCCCTCGCTACATCGCCGTGAGACTGTGCCAAACACAGGACGTGTTCAAACACATCTAGCATGGCACGAGCAGCCTAAGAACTATCGGTCAAGAACCTGCAAACATCTAAGGGTGTCAGCCGTGGTCAATCACTGAACGCTTGAACCTACAGCTTTTGAAGTTGGGGACCGTAGACGGAAGCATTAGCTACAACCCATACATGGTCACCGACGCATCCATCCGCGATGAGCGTGGACCCTACGGGCGAGCAAAGGATGCAAGGGCCAAGCAGGAAGCAACGGAGGAGAGGTGTCCTTTCTGTTCTTGGGAGCTGCAAAAATGGTGGCCGCACGTGCGGGTGCCCGTCTTCAACGGAGCTGCAGAGGAGGTGCGGCTCTGTCACCTCAAGTGCACCGAGGAGGTGCTGGAGGGTTACCGCAGCGAGGCGAAGATGACGATCGAGGCGAACTTTGCCAACAGCCTGCGGGAGTTGCTTGTTCGCAGCCCGAACTTGTTTGCCCGCCGAGCTGCCGCCCGCCTAAGCCTGGAGGAGGAAAGGCTCCAGGAGGCGGCTCGCTCCGAAGGTCGCTGGCCTTTCCCGGCCTTACCGCCCCCACCCAGCGCCACCTTTGCCGTGGAGGGCATCCTTGAGATGAGGCTGTGCCCTGCCAGCACTTCGCCTTGCACACGTGCCGAAAGGGGAGGGCTCCGTGAGCGACGGAATGTCCCATGTGTCGTTTGCAGCAGTCACTGCGCATAGACGGAAGCCCACACGCCGACTCACTTCGCAGCAACTCCACGTTCAGCAGACAAGCCTCCGACAATCTGCCAATTTGATCATGCTATGGATTTTGCATAGATTGCGAGCTGGTGGTTCGGCACATAGTGCTCCTGTTCAATTCGAGCTTTTCGCTAAACTTCCAAAGCGCGATAGAATGATGACCGGGGCCCCTAAATGGCATAGGGCTTCAGTTAGCGCAGGGCACGAGGGAAGAGGGAAAAGAGAAAGCGAGAGTTTTTTGGAGACGACCCTGAGGAAGCAAGTGATACGTCGTGTTTGGGTATGTTGTTTTTGGCGCTCTGTTCGGGTGCGTTGTGTTTTCCGGAAATGGGGAATGGTTATGCACACGCCGCTGGGAGAGGGCGGTGGTTCAAGGTCAAGATGATTGATTTTTACTTGCAGGAGGTTGCTGCACAACTCCTGCTCATGCAGCTCGCTCCCTCGGCACGGCGGCGCATCTCGGTGCTCCGCAAGTTCGCGCGCCCGCTGTTGCTGGTTCTAAAGTGGCACTAGTCCAAGGAGCCGAAATCGTCAGAAGAGGGAGCGTGTTTTAAATAGATGGTGAACCGTAAATCGCCAAGTGAGGGGGCATGTTTAAGATATATGATGAACCGTTGTCGCCAAATGTGGGGGCATTTATATGATGACCCGCTATCCTCAAATGAGGGGGCGCGTCTGACATGCATGATGAGTCGGAACCGCCAAATGAGGGGGCTTTTTAAGATATGGGATGAACCGTTATCGCCAAATGAGGGGCGTGTTCAGCATGTGTAATGAACTGGAATCACCAAATGAGGGGACGCGCTTGAAAGGTATGATGAACCGGTGTCGCCTAGTGCAGGTTTTTTTTGGACATATGATGAACCGTAATCGGCAAACGAGGGAGCGTGTTTAACATCTATGATGAGCCGATATCGCCAAATGCGTGGGCGTGTTCAAGATATATGATGCGGATCACCAAATAAGGGGGCGGCGTGTTCAAGATATATGATGCGGAATCACCAAACAAGGGGGCGGCGTGTTTAAGACTAAGATATGTGGTGAGATGTATGATGAACCGGAATCGCCAAATGAGGGGGCGTGTTTAGGATATACGATAAGCCGGAATCGCCAAATGAAGGGGCGTGTTCAACATATAATATGTTGAACCGAATCGTCAAACGAGGGCACGTGGTTAGGATGTGATGAACCGCCAGTCCCCTTGGCATTGCGTTTTGCAAACGGGGGGGGCTGCCCCCCCCGTCCCCCCCACCCCCCCCACGCCCCCCCCTCTGTCTCAAGCCCTGTGAATCTCTGACCGTGCTTTAGTGAACGTCGTGCAGTCAAGACCGCTATTTGGCCATTTGCGATTTCAAGTCAAGCACATGACTCGTATCAGGCCTTGCAAAGCCCGTCCGCCTAGAGGCCCAACGTCCCCGCTGTTTCTTGGACCGCACAAGCTTGCTTTAGAGAACATCGTGCCATCAAGAATGTAAAGCCACAAAGCTGAAACGCCCAGAGCCTGAACTGGCACGGATTTACAGACTGAGTGATCGATCGAGGGCCGAAGACCAGTAGGCCGAACATCATGAAAATTCACCAAAAAAGACTTCGAATACAGCCTCAGTTGTCGCCACCCCTGTGGCATTTGCAAGTTTTGTATATGGATCGAACCGAGTTACAAAATACAAAACCTGGACCCTCTGCGGCGCCACAGACGCCTGCATTCCACTAAAACACGTTCTTATTTGCATTCGTCCCTTTTGGGTCTTGTGAGTTGTGACTCCAGTTGACGGTGTGCAGAACATGCACTCTAGCTCGCTGTCTTCCAACCTCTACTCGCAATGTGCTGTGAGGGCTGGGGGAAGGCATTCACGGAAAGTCGGAGAGGCACACCGAACCACAGTTGGACACGCTGCTCGCACACGTGCTTCTCTTGGAATAACTGTTGTAGTGCTTTCTGCCATCATAGGCGTGAGAGTTGCTGAGGACACAGGTTCTAGCAGCAAGCCGTAATTCGGGAGCCGAGCATTTTTAGGCGATGTTCAGGCCCATGCCTGACTGTGGCCCCAAGATGCCCGCGCTTTTGTAAGGTCTGCTTCTACACAGTTCGCCAAGCTGCCGAGCGAGATCGGATTTGCGCGCTCGCTGGACACACTCTGCCTCATTTCGAACAGTTTAACAGAGCTTCCTCCAGAGTTGGGCCTCTTGACCGGGCTTACGCACCTGTACCTCAACGGGAACTTCCTTACGGCTTTGCCCGAATCGGTTGGTGCCCTGCCAAAGCTGCAAGAGCTGTGCCTTGATGCTAACAAGATCGAGAGACTGCCCCGAATGACTTCTCCGAAGCTGGTACTCCTGACCGCGCCGGGCAACAAGATGAAGGAGGTCCCCCTGGTACCTCACATGCATCGGCTCGAGGTTCATGGGAACCAGATCCACACCATCACAACTTCTCTGGGATCGCCGGTGTTTCACAACCTTGTGACCCTGAAGGCCTTTGAAGAGCCCCCCAAAAACATGGAGTGGGGCGCCCACACCGAAGTGATGTGATTTGCCTCTCTGTACAGGTGATGGGGAACCAGCTAGAACATTTGCCAGACGAGGCCTGGCAAATCTCAGACCCAAAGGTTTCTGTTGCTTTTTTTGAAAGTGGCTGGTTCCCTTCAGAAGCGCTTGCAGCGCTGCTGGTCTTCAGCACTTGTTGAAAGCCAGGTCGCGTACATGACCAACCTCCGGATCGTGTCCGTTGCCGAGAATCGTTCCGGCCTCGTCAAGGTATATCTGTGCCATGGGTGGCTCCGGAGTGATCGCAGAAGCAGCCTCGCAGGCTTGAAGTCTTTGCCAGATGGCATCTCCAGTCTCCAAGGCTGGCTAGCCGCTAGCGAGTCGCTGCAGAGAGCAAGAGTCCGTGGCAACTACAGAATCGAGCAGCTTTGCAGGCTTGGAGTGGCTGTTGGCGTACGGGCGCTTGGCCTTGGTTTGTATTCACGGTGGATTCGCTTAGAGCATTCGGGCCTCTGTGCCCAAGGAACTGCTTGACCGAGTTGTCCAGCGATGTCATCACAGGTGGGCTGAGTGGCTTAGTGCACCTAGGGACACACAGAAAGTCAGAAAGAGAAAGGTAAAGAGAGCGCAAGAGAGACAGAGAGAGCGAGGGAGACGAACGTAGCCATTTTGGCTCAAGCCGCGAGCGGTTCAAGCCCGTGGGGAGCCCTCCGTGAGCCTTCTCTCCTTACTTCGTCTTGGCCCCCCGCGGGACAACCAATCTTTTCCCCTTCGCTCCGCTTTTTCTCTCATCTTTCTTCCGACGCATTGCTGGAGGGGGAGTACGGCCTCTTTGCGCTGTTCATCTCCCAGGTTGTCCTCCGTGAGTTCGGCGGCTTCGGACCCGTACCGTGACCGCTAGGGACGCTGTCACCTGCTACCTGAGCTATATCGGCGATACTTTGCTTTGCCATTTTCCGGGGAACGATTCCCGACTACCTGTACGGGTCATACAGATTGCCTTCGTTGTGCATCGTGACACTTTCCCGACGGCACCAACAAGAATATCGTTGCCCACGTCATGGCCCCCAAACAAGGGCGAACCTCTGAAGCCGCTAAGCGGGGAGACACCCCCAAGTGCCAGCGATGTCTCAAAGGTCCATCCTGCCATAGTGGACACGACCGCAGGGACCCTGAGTGCGTCTTTCACGGTTGTTCTAGCAAAGATCCGAAGGAACTGGGAGCCTATTTGCGCCAGCAGCAGATCAACGCTGAGGTCAAAAAGGCTCTCTCCAGCGGGGAAGTCCCCTCGAGCTCAACGCCGAAGACTGCAGGCCCAGGAGCTGCGCCAACATCGGGGGAAGCACCCCCCCTAAAACAACTGGAGGCCGAGCATGTCAGAGATGCCTTATTGGCAAACGACGTCATCAAAGGCATGATCCACTGGCAGATAACTGTGTGCTGTTCGGATTAGAAACCCCCACGCCCGCCAAAGCACGTCAGCTCCTGCTAGGACAAGAGGTTCAGCTTGCTGTGGATGCTGCCCGAGCGGATGTCGCTTCGAGGTCCTCTACTACAACTTCCCCCCCCCGCCCAGGCCAGAAAGCATCGTAAACGCCAACGAGAAGCACCACAACCGCAGGTACCGCAGGTGGAAACACCTTCGACCCAGGACGAGGAAATCTCGGGCGAGATCTTGGAGGATCCCCTGCAAAGCCTCTTTGGGATCCAAAGCAAAAGCCAGTCGACAGGGGAATGGCCACCAAAGCGCACCCCTATCCCTGCCATGGCCAGCGCTCCGGCCGACCTTGTGCCGCCACCACTGCACCCAGCTCCGGGGATGTCCCCCACGACTTCGATGCTGACTTCTATGTGCCCGGCTGTTCCAGTTGAGCCAACCCGGGGTACCAGAATGGACCCTGCCGGTGCCAACCAGACGTTCGAATGTTATTAGAGGGGTTACTCCCCGGCGCAGCAAGGGCAATCCCAGCCGGTCGTATGTCAGCAGTGGGAAAGCCGTTAATCAGACCTACACCTACAGAACCTGCCCTACATGACGATCCTGACCTACGGGAACGCCCTCTGGATTACACGATCGAGGAGAACGCCCACTACCTGTGCCAAAGGGCTCCGCTACTTGTGAACGCGAAAGGCCTGCCCAAACGGTGACAGTCCTCCACCTGGCTCGCACGGACAAGGAGCACATCCACTGCCCGTGCCCGACAATTTTGCAACCCGGGATCAAGCTCAGGACCATCACAGCGGTCCTACAACGGGCCAGAACTCTGATGGAACCAACGAGCTGCAGGACAATGCAGAGTGCAAGGAGAGGCCCAGAGATGGCAAGGAGCCACAACCAGATACTTGGGCCTTACTTGAACCCTTACCACCTGGCTGGCAACGCGGAGGTGAATTTTCCCAGGGGCTACACCCCTCCACGGACGTCTTCAATGACTTGCCGGACAACGACAACGACCACAGCAACACGACCTTTCCAGTGGACCAGCAGAACGACCTGAACCTCGAAGGCTCAGATGAGCCCGAAGCGACATGTGACAAAGGTGAATCAGCTGTGCCCAAACAGCTGCTAAGCCCCGAGTTTGACGAGGATGCGTGTGATATGTGTGATAAAGATGCGCCCATTGCACCTGAACAACCACCAAGCCCGGAATCCGATGAAGAGCATGATGCCAATCCAGGGGTAGCTCCCCCATCGCC